AACGTAGTGGAATAGATTGTTTGTAGTAGAGAAATGAATTGAATAAGGACCAATGTCGAATTAACTTTATATCCATGAATTATTGTACAGATGTGTGCCAATAGATAGAATCGAATTCAATATTCTTTTTGCACGTGCAGGTCAAAAAATTAATTCAACAACAAGGATTGCATTAAATACATTCGTAAGATACGAAATGAAACGATATGGAAAAATTATATTTAATTTAATCTAAGTTTTGGGACGAACGTTTGTTTGGAATAGGAATATTTCATACGTTGCTCAATTAAAACAAAACTTGTCAACTTCGAAACTGTCAAAGATAAATTTCATTGCATCTCGAAAATTCAACGCGAGAGAAAGTGTCAAATGCAATAGAGCCGGCTCGTGTTTCTTGTCATATTGATGCTTTCCAAAGCTTTTTCTTTTATTTCTCAGCTAGGTTAGGTCAGGTCGAACAACGTAACAAATTCTCGAAGAATTCGTGCCCCGGCAACCTCTGTTGTCTCGTTTTTCACTCTGCCTTTGAAATTTTTAAATCCACTCTGAAACACTCCGTCTAATTCTCGAATATTTAGCGTTGCCTCCCTCTATAAACCTGAGAAATTTATCGTCGAAGATTGATCACACGAGAGTTATGCACTCCTTCAATCAATATTACTGCACTTTTTTTTATCTAAAGCGATTTAGAATTAAATGGCCCAGTTAGCTATCGATCGATTATTTTTAGAAAACGTTTAGGAAACAAGAATAATTAAACTGCTTGCTAAGTTTAATCTTTTTTAAATTATGGAAAATATTATTTCGCGTATAATTTGTCCATTTTTGTTGCGTATAGAAAGAAACGGTCAAAGAAACGGTGATTAATAAGAATTTAATGAAATAAAAGTTTTGATGGTGAAAGCATTAAATTTCTAATATATTATGAAAAATTGACAGTAAATAAATAATGTTAATAATTTATCAAAGTTCATATTTCGTGTTCGATTTAAAAATTTTCTTCCAAGGATGGAAAAAAGAAATGGAAACAAAAAAAATGATTAAATTTCTTATGAATTCTTATGAATGCAAGCATAAATCATTCAATTCTTCATCGCTAATTTCTAATAATTTCTAATAAATGTTCTTCAAACAAGCTACTTTTATACCTTACTTGTTTTCTCATATTTCTTCGATCTTTCGCGTATATTCTACAAAGTGTGGATGTTAATATATTCGTGGAACACTCTTCTAGAAATTTCGTCCAATGCGAATTGTACATGATTTAATAAACAAGCCTGACATTTTTGCATATCGACTTTTCTTCTTACCTCTAGAATCCACACTACATACGTACGTGTGTTACAATACACCGATCCAATATAAATTAATTCTTCCTCGTTCTAATTCATTTAACATTTAAATAATTATTATAATGGTGTTCATCGATGATAGCATTCGATCTCTCTCATTGATGAAATATTCTTCCCAATTTAAATAAACCCGCGATGCTATACTGTATGCTACACTTCAGTTTCAACGAACCTAGCTAAATATAGTGACAGCGGTGAATAATTTAATCATATCTAACATTGCCTGTCCTTAGTTTCCAATTAAATGGAACGGTTGGCGAGCACTTACTTGGAAACGTAATCGATCTTATCTAAAATTATTTCCATTTCACAATTTCTCCTTATACAATATTTGCACATTTCTCTTTGTTTTATTTTTGTATTCATTAATTCACACTTATGCGTGTGATAATACGAGTGCCACGCTTGTATATTTTATTTATAGTAGAATATTAAAGAGAATATATTTATAACAGTAATTTTAATTTCTTGAACGAATTAAATAAAGTGATTAAATTGTTTGATTAAATTTTTTTTAACGTGGAAATGAACGTTTTCGTTCAACATTTGAAAATTAATTAGAATTAAGTGTAACGTTAATTATGTAAAGTCAGTAGGTGCGTTATCAATGATCGCTATTTCTACAAAACGAGACAATTCACACATTATTCTTATTCTTAAAACAACAATTTTAGAATAATCCCCCCTTTTCACAATTACGAAAATTTTTATCTTCAGTTCGCGCATTAATATAAATTATTATAACCAGCTACAAAAGACAGAAATTTAAAAAAGAAATTAAAGGATAATTTGCAAACGAAAGATATATTTTTCACCAGAAATATTGTCAAAGATCAAGATGGCGATGAACTTTCGCGAGATTAGAGCGGACGCGCAACAAGATGTGGTGGAAACACGTCCGACTGGCCAACGGAATAATTTGATAGACTCGTATTAGCCTGAATTCCGACAATCCAGTTAGCCACCCTAACCCTGATCCAGCCTCGCCCTGAATTTAAAGCAATTGACGCGAACTGGAACACGCTGTGATAAACTAACGCTTCCGATAGGCTTCCTAAGACAGGTCGAACCAAGCGGCATTCTCTGGAAAACTGTGCAATGTCCGCAGCCAACGAACCTCCAGATTTCCTTTACTCGATTATCAATCCTCCTTCTCTCTTTTAATCGAGTCGGATTAAAATAAATAAAATTCAGGAGGAATAGACGAGAGGAAATCTTGTTTGATGATCGTTTGATCTGATCTATTATTAGAATAGTTGCGGATTAATAAAATTTATATAAAAAGTTTTCCTTTTATTCTTTGGTTTCAACGATTTGAAGATTATTGTTGTCGCAAAATATGTCGATTGTTGATTAAAATAAAAAGTGTTTTATTTTCATACGAATCTAAAGATCAGTGTGAATTAAGTAATTGTAACAATTAGTTAAATCAATTTTCGTTTATATTTATATACGATTTGAAGAAGGTATAGAAAGTATCGAGATCGAATATTTTTCGAAACGATTGATGTATTAATAAATAATTTGCGATCTTTTAATCATTTCAATGATTTCATGCAATTTCATAAGAATTTCATTTTCTTGTTTAAACTGTAGTTAAACAAAGTTACCACATCTAATACGATCAAACTGTACAAATTATCGTGTACTTGACACGATTACGACACCCTCTTCACATTTAATTTAATATCACCACATGCTTCTCCGGAAGCAGTTGCATTTAAGGAATTTAATTTAATCTTAAATGGTTCGAACGAAAGAAAATAAAGCAACGTTTTTACTAAAATTTAGATAGTTGAAGAAAAAAATAATTTAAAATAACATCATAGAAGAGAATGCTGTCTTGACTATTATTATTTTATTCATTTTATATCACGAAGAAACGAGTTAGTTCTCAGATTAAATCCATAATTCCATCTACATTTTTATATTAATTCGATAATATAATTTAAACAAATCGTTCTCGATCGACTCGAAACAAGTTTCTAATAATCGAAATAAATGAGCGCAAATGCATTATTCTGAGAATGCTTGGAATTTTATAAATAAATATCAGAAGCGTTCAAAGTTCATTTCTGTTACTTTCCTCTGAACTTTGTACTACAAATGTCAACCCAAGTTATACGAACACATTGTTTGCCGCTCAAATCGTCCGATTCATATTTGATATTCGAGAATAAACGAGGCATGTGGATAATAATGGAACGTCGGAGATTACGACTGGCAAATTTTCCTCTCTCCTTTGAGAAGAAAATACGTTTGTCAAATTACGAAAATAATTTGCGTTTAAATGGCTTCCGCTCGAAACGAAATCTACTCGTTCGACGACAACGATAACACACGACAGAGAACGAAAGGTGAGGTATGAATTTTTTAACTCCTCGATAAGCTTCGTACGTGGAAAGCAGAATTATCGTGACGTATAATTAAAAAAAAAAAAGAAGAAGAAGAAGAAAAGAAGAGATCTGAAAGGAAGAAATACAAAATTCCACTTCAATTTTCGCGACGATCGAGTAGAAATTTAATTATTGTGCGCGAATAGATATATATCGTTTAAAAAGAATTTGTAATTCAAGATGGACAAATGTCTTAATTGCTATTAGAAGAATCGTATTCGAAATTCTTTTTTCGCTATAATGTTCAAAAATTAAATAACGTATATTAATATTTACTTTTTCTTTTTTTTTTTTTCTTTATTGCAAAATTGGAATAGAAAAAGGAATCTTTGTAAATAATAATTGATCGATCGAAAGGATATAAATTTTATTTCTGTTTAAACAAATTTTATTTATCGATGAATTTTCGATTAAAAAAAATTTTCTTCCCTTTCTTCGCCTCGCGATTAGAAAGGGAAACCTTTCGGTTTCTTTTTATTGCCACTTGTAATTTATTGCGGGTAAACAGATCGTTGATTGTCGAATGTTATTAAAATTTGTTGTGGCAAGCGTCGAATTACGCGAGTGGCAAAACTTTTGATAGCACGTGTACTTTAATCAGGTCACCGGATTTCTATACCTTCTCTTTTCGTCTTCTTTAGAAACTGCACATACACACACACACACACATATATAGCGCACTTGAGCATTTTCTGCAAATCTAGACATCAGCATTTCTCGCAAACTACCTGATGTTGTGCCGGTAATATTCGAAATGACTCGAGATTCAAGATTCTCGAGGCAGTTTTTACGATTGCGTGAAGAAAAAAAAAAAGAAAAAAACTCGTGTAATGATTTTTCAAGAATTTAGAATCGCGACTATTCGGAATTAAAATAATTACTCCTTAATTGTTATGCTTTTATTCTCAGCGTGTTGAATTGAATGCGTTATTATTTTTTATATTTCCTTTGCTTGATGTCACTTGATGTGCAATAAAATCCCTTCCACATCCATTGCAATCCACATACGCAATCTACATAATGTAACGTTTCACGAAACGAATTTATCATTGATTTCGATGACACAATTTATTAAAACTTTTGTGGCTAACTATTTTCAACAATGCAAATTTAACTTTCATTTTTTCTTCTATACCTTCCAAACTATACCTACCTTCCCTTCTATCTCATTTATTTCGTACAAAAATCCTTTTTCCAAAAAAGAAAAAAAAAAGAAAGGAGGAATCTTTTCTTAAGAATAATCTCGACTCACCGAGCATCTTGACACCTTGGACAGGGCTAACGGGATAAAAATCGCCGTGAAGAGGGCAATGGAAGCCCACTCTGCGCTCCCTTCTTCTCGCCCTTCTGGTGAGCATGCAGAGCAGCACGCCCAGGCCGAGCATAAGGGCGCCCACCACTATACAAATCGGTCCAAGGATCCGCGAATTCCCTGTGAACGCGATTCTGGCCGCGTACGAGTCCTTGTCCTCGTCCTCCCCGGGCCCACGATACGACGCAGCTGAAACAGGCAACCATCATGATCAGAAGATCCACGGAATTGGTCGGCCATCTTGTTCTTCTCTATTAATTCTCTCCCTTCTGCTTTGTTAAATTGAATAAAAAGAAATCTCGACGATGGAATTTTTAACGTAGGATTTTGGCCAGGCTCGTTTTCTCTCTCTCTCTCTCTCTCTCTCTTTCCATTGTCCTTCTTTTCATTTTCGTTTCGTCTTATTAATATTTCAAATTTAATCTAGCCGAGTGCTCGCGGCTAAGTTCACTCCATTCCACTCCCGGATGGATGCTATATTCACGTTGTTGTGTGGGTATAATACAGGTGTAAGAAGTTGGATGGAAAAGGGGGGAAGGAGAGGAGAGGCATGGTTTTAAATAAGCCAATTTTTTTGTAGTTGATGAAACATATATATATATGGAATGAAAGGTTTGGAAGGAGTATTGGCTCGCAAATTTTTGACAAAAGTTTTCTTGATGATCGAGCTCGTGCTGCGTGGAGAAAGGAAGAACGAATAATGAGAGTGGAAGAAGGGCACACGTGTTTATATGGAGGGAAACGCTTAGCTTGTGACAGAAAGATCTATATTTAAATATTATCATAATTTTTTTACATTTAATAATCTGCGTAAGATTGATTTGTAATAAAATTTAATTTATAAATTATTGTAATCTTGTATTCGAGTAGTTGAGACAATTGTATAGGAATAAGTTAAACATAGATGTGTTAATATGAAGATAATTAATAGGTTCGAGAATATTTTCAGTTTTCAGTCTTGGATGATTATTCTAATAATGAAAATAATTTTTACGATTTTGAATATTCAAATTGTAGCTTTTCTGCTACCGTGTCAAGAAAAATTTATTTAAATTTCAAGTTTTTCCATATATTTGCTTATCATTACAAGTCTTTAAATATTTCATTTCATTTCAAATAATAAAATGTTTTCGATACTTTTTCGCTTCGAAATGCACTCGGTAGATCATGAATCATTCAAATGATGTTTTTTATTCAAATTACAAAGACAAAAATGAATACATCTTTTATTAAATATTTACATTATTATTAGCGTCCAATGTTTTTCTAATAAGCTGTTTAATTTAAAAAAAAAAAAATAGGAAAAAGCAGAATTCATAATGACATTCACGAGTTATATATTTTTTTTTATACTTCGTGACAAGTACGTAGTTATTACGCGATAAAATAGCAAATAAAAAAAATTTATGAATTCTCGAATTTATCTCGAGTTAAATTTTGTTCGTTAAATCTTATCACCTAATAGATTATTGATTTCCTTGTTTAAAAAAAAAAATAGTGTCAATTTAAAAAGAGCCATGACAATTATCATTTCGCAATTAACATTGCAAATTTAAAAAATTTATTCTAATCGTTGTGTAAAAAGCATTGAAACTCTTATTTTTTCTTTAAAAAAAAAAATCGTTTGCAAGAGCGTAAACACGCGATATATCAAGTATTCTTTAATGTACAATAGAATATCGATTATCGTCGATTATTCAAAGTTTGATTATTCAAATGGCGGACTATCTGAACACGAGATTAAGAACGTGTTTACCATCCAAACTATCGAACAATATTTACATTGGCAAAAAGCTAAAAACTTTTTGAGGAATTTTAAAATTTTTCTTGAAATTGATCTTTAAACTTGTTAAAAGAAAATCATCTATTTCCTCAAAATAAATGTAGAATTAAAAATTAATAACAATATATTTAACGATTAAACGATCCATTTCGCGAAATGAATGAAAATAACTGTTCATTAATAATAGCAGAGTTAATGTTTCAACATTATTACCTGTTTAATCTTTTATTCGATAATATCATTCTCTAATATCATTCGATAAACAAAATTATTATTATTCTCTTAAACAATCAATATTCCAATAAATAAATTATTATTCTAGGATGTATAAAAACGATTAGTTTATTTTTTCTTATTATACACGTTTTCCTTTACGTAATTTCCACAGGAAACGTGTCGTCACCATTCCTACGAGCGTTTCAATTTCCATCGCGATTGAATTTTCCTCGAAACGATATTCAAAATACGATAAAATAAAGATTCGACAATTTCCGTTCGATTTAATGTCGTAAACAAAAGAAAACAAAAGAAATTTAGATAAAATCTCTAGAAGCCGCCGTCCTGTCCCCTTTAATTGGTTTATGTTTAAGGTTAGGTTGGGTTTAAGGCTTGCAATGGTAAACCGGTAAATCCACCGTCTTCTCCAGCCGGAGAAGAAACTCGAAAATCGTTGGATTCGCCGCAACGAAAATTTTCTTCACGCTTTCACACCTTTTCCCCGGAATCTACGATGTTGCTGCTCGCTGCTTGCAACGAGAGAAATCATATCGAGCTCGAGGCGAGGATAAAGTGGAAAAATTCTTATTCGAGAGAGAGATACAAGGGTGAGCTTGCGTTCGATACGCTATTTATATTATCGGGTAACGAAGGAACATCTTGTTATATTTCTTGTAAACAGGAAACAGAGACGCGAAAGATTGTAATAAAGGAATCATTTGATCCGTTCAAATCGCGCTTATTATTTTTTTTTTTTTAATAATAAAAAATGAAGAAGGATGAAAGAAAATTTTTACAATAAAAGTACATCTGCACTTCGTTATTTACTTGCTACTATATAATTCAGTGATAAGTATTTCTACGTAACTACGTAAAGATTTGAAAATTGTGAAAATGAAAAAAAAAGAACTTGATAAAGAAGAACGGTTCGTTGGAAAATGAACGTGCAATTACTTTTTGCAATCAGAAGTTATATGATATTTATTTAAAAATTCTTTCAACACTCGACACTAGCGCCACGTAACTATTAATCACTAGTATCCAATATACATTTATTAATTTTCTTAATTAAAATTTATACTTCAAAGATTTCAATATAAAAATTCTTATTTTTTTTCTTTTTCGATATTTCTTTTGAAACAACAGTTCTATTATCTTTTGTCTATATCTATAATAAACTTCATTCCGAGTATAGAAGTCAAAGTTTAATCGGTGTTAAAATATCTTTGTGCCGAAAACTTATTGTCACAAGTCGTATTTACAATATCTTAACTTAGAATCATAATCATATCTTTGCTGTTGATTCTTTTCAATTCTTCCTACAAACTTTCTTTACAAAATGACTTATCAAAAAAAGCATCTTTGTCATTTATTGACAATCTGTCGAGCATTTAAGCTCCCAATCTAAGGAAAATGAACGATAACGCCAGAAGAAGAAATTGCATTTTTGTTTTAAAAAAGGAAGAAGCGAAAGAAAACAGGAATACTTTCTTTCTAGACTATTCTGTCGATTGCTCTCTGTGGATCGCACGTGTGGAAAAGCGTGTGGGATAGTTTGGAGAGAACTTTCTTGCCGCGGAGAAAGTCATTCTTCTATGCAGCGATCTTTATAAGGGAAGAAACTCGGTGGAAAGAGGAGGAATGTCGTGAGGGACACGTAACCCGTTCCTGATTTCATTGTACGCGAAATCTGAACATGGATCTGCACGCGTGGGCAGACGAGAAACCGTTCGCTCGTTTCAATTGAAAGATTAAATATATTCACCGCGTGTGAGGAGGTTAGGTGTGCATGGAGGTTGAGGAAGTGGGCAGAAAATTTAAGGGCGAGGTAACAAAAGGAAGACAAATGTAAAGACTTGGAAATTGTAAAAGCAATTTAATTTTACATTTTGAAAAGGGAACGAAAAAGTTGGAGATGGATGGGAACCAGATGCTTCTATCTCTGACTGCTATCTGTTTGGTGGAAAATTATAAATGACGCTAGAAATGTTGTTTTAATCTACTTATCCATTTCTTCGGAACAGTGTATCTTAGATTCAACGTGTATTTTCGCAATATTCTATGATATCGAGACAAATGTAAGACGTAAATTATAGGCAACCATAATATTCTCACGATTTTCTTTCTTTCTATGACACAAGAATATAAAGAAATATTTATAAGACTTGCGAAACGTTGTGTTCTGCATTCATAGAATAACTGCGAGTAATCGTTGAGGTTTGTGGTTGATTGCACTTAGAATTGTTTCGTGAACAAAATTTGTTTCAACTCTCTCCATTTAGATTATTATTGTACGTGTAATTATTGTAAAAATATTCTTATATAATTCGTTTAAGTAATTTTAAAACGTCAAACAAAATTACTTGTTGTAAAAATAAAATAATTAAGGAATGCAAATTATTGAATAAGCTAGAGATTTAAAAAGTTACGATCGATATTCTTTCTCTAATCTATAAAATTGAAATAAATCAACGAAGAAAGATTGATTAAAATTTCTTTCGTTTTTCTCGAATCATTTAATTTTAAAATATAATTTAATAAGTTTATAATTTTCCTTTGTGTAATTAAGGAATTTTTTTCAAACGTATGTATGAATGCTCGTTCAATAAAATCGTGTATTATGTGTTCGTGTTTTCACGTAACCGAATCAAATTGTTAAAAATAAATAAGTTGAAATCTAAATTTACATGCAGACTAAACAGACTGATATAGAGTAGATACATTTCTATGCGATGTAACACTTAAAATTCCTTGTTTTGAATTTTATCACAACTTTTATTTCTCTCTACAATCAAATAAAAATTATTTTTTCCAATGTTTATATATAATAATATAAATTGAATATATATATATTTGAAATTTCTAATAAAATAATAAATTTTCAATAATTCAATAATCAACAACATATCAAATTAGATTTAAAAATTTTTTGATGAGGATAGAAAAAATTTAAAATTCAACCTTATTAATATTAACTTTTAAATATAATATTATTATACATTTAGGTATATTCAATATGAAAGAAGGTTACAATTTTAATTAAGATCTTTTTAAGCTGAAATTGGTGAGCTTTGAACAAGAAAAAATATTGGAAATTTCTAAGAATTTTAAAATCTCTTTTCAATAACTTGATATATTTATACAGAATGATTTGATTATTATTAATAAAGACAATATTTTAACGTTTGTTCATTCAATTACAAAAAAGTGCAAAATAACACGAATTTTAAAATGTGATTTAGCACTTGTAAGTCATAAGGAAGAGCAACGACCTCCAGGTTCTCTTCCCCTCGAACTTTCAAATCCCTATTTAAGAATCCATAAAAAGTCAGATTTATTTCAAACAGTTGGTACTTAATAATTATACTTAGAGCGAAAGCAGAAGAAAATAAATTTTAAACGATACAATTAATAATCATGTAACTTTAAAAAGTAAATTATCTCATATATCGCATTCTATGAAAATCCATATTCAATTAAGATACTTAATACAAATTTTTTTCAAATATATATATTTGAAATTCAGTTTCTTAAGTATATTAATTTTTGAGAAATTACTCGTAATTAAACTGTATATAATCATGAAATAATTACACAATCATAAAATTGATTTCGAATTTTCTTAAAAATTAATTTTTAAATGAAAAAAAATATCATTCTAAGTTTATTTCCGTATATATAATAATCCATTGTCGATGATTTACTCCAATTTCATTTGCACTTGTAAAAAGTTTTCAAACACGATTTCAAAACGAATAAATTTTATTTCTTTTTTTTTTTTTTATTTTGCATTTAGAATTATCTTCTATCTTTTACCACCAGTATAATATATATCAGATTATCGCATAAGTAATGGCATTTCAAAAGTATAACTTCCACAAAAAAATAATAAAACTATCCATTATACTGATACCGACAACTTTTTGATCATTAAGATAACGTGAAAACGTTATCAATAATAAATTGCAATAAAAATAAATACTTTTTATTCATTCATAACAAAATTCATTCAAAATCGCCAAATAATCATCAACGACATCTCTAATAATATCATCAAATGCGAAAAAAAAGCTACAACTCCAACTCTTTTCATCCATTATCGATTAATTAACTTTATCGATATTTATCCCAATATTATAAAAATAACACCATAACAATCTTCTCGTTCTCCAAATCAAATTTCTCAAGCAACGAAATTTTTAAAGCAAAAGAATCGATCCAACCACGTACTACCGTTCCGCAAAATTATATTACAAAGAAGCTCGTCCACTCGTCCAAAGCTGAATAGACTCGAGGCAAAGTGAAAAATAAATTTTGCCGATACGTGATCCGGCATGTGGAGTAGCTGGTTCACGAGTATATAAGTAGGAGCAACTGATGGGAAACGAAAGGGAAATGGGCTACAGGACCGGTCTCATCCACGGTGGCGGAGGCAAGAAAAGGAAGGAGGTAGAGAAGGACTGACCGGTTTTGATAAATCGGTTGGTAACAACGGTCCAGACCTGTATCCAAGAAACCGTGGCCAAACGAGTAAACGACCAGCTGTTGCCCGTTAGCGAACTTCTTCTTTCCTCCTTCGTTTCTTCTTCCACACCTTCCCTCTTCTTCCTTTCCTCCCCTCCACCTTCTTCTTCTTCTTCTTTTTCTTCTTTTTCCTTCTCGTGACATAAACGCTCCATTGCCATCGTCGAGTTCGATCACCTCGAATAATAGTGGTTCTCAAATGACGTACGACGTCAAGGATAAGAAAATAAAATGGCCGATATTAAGATCAAAGGTGGCGCGAATTTTCAATAACGTATCATCCTAAAGATCTAAGACAGATATCGTTATACACTCGAGCAATAATATATTGGAAATTATTGTATTGAAATATCGTTGCATTTAAAGCGTCGTACGGAGTGAGATAACACGATTATATCGATTGCTGTTCGTACATCTGAACATTTTCGTTCACGGATAGAAGAAGAGAAAGGATTTCTTAAAGGATTAAACTCGCACGGAGAGGAAGGGATTAAAAGGGGAATTATCGATTGCACCCTAACGAATTCCAAGTATGTAAACGATGTATCCGTTTGATTTGTAACCGCGTTGCATAATAAAAAGAATCGGAAGAATTAATGGCTTTAAATGGATTTCTCACCTTCTCACCCTTGTACAAACGTTGACGTTCACGTGGCTCAATGTTTATCGACCGTTGGTGAACAATCTTCGATTGTTCGATCACGAGAAGCCTATCATTTATACACACGCGGCTAGAGTAGATTGACGCAGTGATTTCTTTGCGAATCGATCAATCCAATTTCCAATTACTTGCTCGCTCGAGCCAGCTCAGCTTAGAACAAGGCTTCTTGTTCGACATAACTAATCCAATTTCGCGGATACGACACAGGCTTCCGTCGGATCCAGTGAAGAATCTTCATCGGCTTGGAAACATTTTTATTATGCCAACGATTTCCAAGTGTTTTGCCTTCCCTTTTGGCATTCGAGTTTAATCCTCTCTCAATAAGATACTAATTACTCTTCGAAGCTGTTGTAATTTATTTAACGAGACAAGTGGATACGAATGTGTCTCTCGTTCAAATATTCTAAAGCCGCGTCCGTATTGCGTTGACGTTAATCGACACTGATTGGTCGAACAATTTAGCCAATCGCTTGTGCCATATCCCTATTCCAGTAATCAAATTCGATGGTTCAATAGCAAAATTATCTAATTATTATCGATCACGAATCCCCCAGAATTCGGATATTTATCGAATGTCGAATGAAAATTTGATTTTGATCGTTAATTTTATTTTATTAATCATCAGTCGGTAAATCGATCGGTTTTCGGTGTGACTCGAATGTAAATGGGGATGAATGATTTTTTTTTACCGCGCGATGTCGTTGCGATCGTCGATGTTTTTTTCCTCGTTTTCTTGGGTAAAAAATAAGATAGACGTATAATCGATGATATTGCAACGATACGTCGACGAAAAAACATCGCTCGTGTGCATTAAGCTTTAATTTAGTTGCTTGGATCTATTGAATGACTTTGTTGATTTGAAATTGACATTTTCATATGTGAAGAATGTATAATTTATTGAATTATTGAATTAAAATATAGAAAGATGAATTTGAAGATTATTATTTGCATTTCTCAGATACACGAGAAGATTTAGAAATAATGTTAAAAAATAAAAATTCGTGGAAGCTGGAACATTTATATTCTGGACTTACGCTTTAGAGTTAAATTTGCAATTAAAAGGCAATTTCGAAACTTACAAATAAATGGCTGAACTTTTTACTCTGAAAAATAGATAAAAATATTTATTCTAACAAAAACTCTGAAAGAAACACGGTAACAGTTATAAATAGATATTTCATAACTGCATGGATCTTCGACTTAAATTCACGATTGAATTACTCTAACACGATTCTATCTTATAAACAAAACTCTTCGTTGTACTTGTTCTTTTGCACACTGAACATACGGCAATAATATTTCACGAATCGTTTTATCCACTATCATTGATTAAATACAATTATGTCAGTCAATAAGTTGATTCATTTATTTTTTTTTTTTCTTTTAACAAATCAGTTCAAATACTACGAAATTATTCTCTCGTTTCCCAACGGATTAAAAGAGGTATAAGAATTAAATGGTAATCTGCCACAAGGGATTAATTACGTAACGAGCAATCCTAACACGATATATCGATGAAAAAAAGTTGAATAATATTTTCTTATACTCGTTTCATGATGCAACGACATTATAACTTCGTAGAAAATTGCTTCTCCATGTTGTGTGTCCCACAGCATATTACTTAATTTTAAGTTTAGGTTAATCTTGAGTTTACAAACTTTATACGGTATAATACCGTACACGTGTATTTATGCTCTATAATACGAAAGATAGGTTAGAAATGAAGTTTCTAGTTGTAAATAGGTCACGGATTATCAGTAAGTAATTAAGGATTATCTTTAATACAGACTTAAGAAGCCTAGCAAAACAAAGTATTTCTATTGCCTCGTAATACTTTTTATTGTACGTGAAATGATAATAATAAGAATAACAAATATTTTTTTGAAGAAAAATATATAACGTGAGGGATGAATAAAACGCATTTTTTTTTTTTTTTTATCATTTAAATCTTAAATCTTTGAAATATCTTCGAAATTATTTATGAATGCAAAAAATGTTTGAGTAAAAGTTGTTTAACATCGTATATCGAAAATTAATGAATTTTACATGCCTCGATATCGTGAAAAGAATTTACATGTTGGCGCCATCTGTCCATCGAGAGAAAAATTCGTGCCACTATCTGTTTCATATATGCTAGATATACGTATCGTATCTATAAATACAATGCTAAACACTGAAAAATATCACAGAATCACATGTATTCGACAAAATATACGTAATTTAATTACGTACATGAGAAAAAGAATTCTATAATAACTTCTATCCTGCATTATAGCTATGATAGAATATATAAATATGAATAAATATTGCACGTATCGAATGAAAAATTAAATTTTAGAAATTAAAATTTAATAATAAAATTTATATTCATGATAAAAGTCACGAGGAAATTTTATATTTAATTCGAATCAAAATTCTTTTAAAATCAAATAATATATTCTAGCTTAGCCTAAAATTTATTATTAATCTTTATTCTGGTATTCATTTATCTATTTCTCATCTTTTGGAATGGATTCAATATATCGAGACGACGAAAATAATTTTTGTCTGAAAGTATTTCCTTTCCTTTCCTCTTCTCTCTGAACATCTATTATTACAAAGACATAAATTTTAAAAACGATAAATTGTTTCGAATTAAGTATATATAAGTAAGATATAAAAATAATCTTATAATTTTTAGATAAACATTGTACGAGTATATGATGAATTCATTCAAATGAACAAAAATTCTGACATGTTACACTTCATTTTTAAATTATTTGTTTTGAATTTCAAACGAAATTTCTTCTTATCACTGATACCATTTTTATATCATTTTTATGATAGCAGAAAATTCTATTATATTTTCTCATAGACAATAATTCTATTATCATATGCACAACCCGTTTACTTTCTCCGAAATGGAAAGTACAATATACTGAACGACTCTTCCACCAATATATAGCAGTTTTACATTATATTATGCCACCAAGATACATCGCTTATATAAGCTTATTATACGACGTTTTAATAAATATTCCTTTAACCATCTTCATTGATCGTTTATTATATTTTATATTTTCAATAATTTTAAGAGAGTTAAATGAAATAAAATTTATATTAATAGGCCATTAATTGTATTAAATTTCGAAAAAACTTACAAAAAGAATTCTACAATTTTATTAATAGAATTTATTCATGAATATATTTTTATCGAATTGAATAAAAATTTGTTTAATTAATCTTGTTTGATATTTTCTTTTTTAAAATTATTCCAAATATTATTTAATCATGAATAATCATGCATATTTAAACTAAACTTACTATCCAAGTTCGATATATCCAATTATTCCATGTAACATGATATTTTACTTAACGAGGTAATGTAGGAAGATTAAACTAAATTTATTTATACATCTTATATTGATATTTTTAAATAATTCATAAAATAGCTTCGATATTACGTAACATAATTAATCAATTTCATCATTTTTCATCAAGAAAATGGAAAAACACGAAAATTATTTAATTCATTCTTCTAAAACAAAGTTGCAAGATTAAAATAAACCTTTGTTAATCACAAGTAGAAGTCGAGTGAGAATTTAACGAATGTTAAAATTTAATTAATAAAGGACACGCGAATGAAACGTTAAAAGAAACGATAAAACGTCGAAACTGTTGCAGTTTTAAGCTTTATGAAAAAAAATAACAACGCAAATGTTACAGTTGAAACTCACGAAATCACGATGCACAAGAAACAACACGGTTATTGCCTAGTTGACCGACATTCGTTGTTGCCTCTTATCAGAAAACTCTTTGCCTAAAATCCTCGAACGTTTTTTTTTTTTTATAGTGGACAGTTTAATAGATATTCCCTTCATTTTTGTGTATAAATATAATATAATGATAGAAAATAAATCGAACAAAAAGAAGTTCATCCACTGAATTAAGAAATCATGAATGAAAAGCGATCTAGCGGTTTATAATGACTCATCTATGATTATCTATTATTAATAGTCTATTATGAATAATCTATTATTAATTATCTATTCACGAATGAATTACAAGAAAAAAATACAACGTGTATTTAATCATTTTTCTTTCATAGTATCTTCAAAAGTAGTATACATACATCGATACTATCTTTATACAGGGTGTCTCAAAAATGAGAACACAGCTTAACCGAGAGTTAAGCAATTTTTTTTCAAAAATTTGAACAATTAAAATTAATAGAACTATAAATTTTATTTTATTTTTCGCTTAATAAAGATTAATTTAAGCAGTCAGATGATGATGATGAGTGAATCAACCGACAATTTTTTACATCATACCGTTCATGAATATACCACGTATGCTTCCACGTATGCAAATTATCGAATACAATAATTGTTCCCACGGAATAAATTAAACCTGTTCTCGCAATATATTTGTTGCTCGATCATAAACATTTACCAAAAGCAGAACAATGCCGATCGATCCCTCGCAATACAAACGAACGATTTCCGGAGACCTCTGCCTCCCAGGTTTATTAAATACTTTTCGCGAAAACATTTTCATGAAATCGGTTGATAACGGTCAAGGATCCTTTGTTATTCCAATATTGTTAACGGACAATCGGAGGTAAACCGGAGCACAATGGACGGTTATCAAATATACACGCGAAAACAATAAAGGATACAAACCGGTGAGTACAGCGCCGACGAGCATAAAGAGGAAGCCGAATGCCGGAAGAGCAATCTGGCAGTTCGCAGCTATTACAACCCCAGCTACCATCAGTCCACCCTCGATCTTCTCCACCCTCAAGCGTGATATAGGGGTCGGACATTTTAATTTCGCCCCGAGTCCGCCACTCAGCGCACCCTCCTCACCCGCCATCGTGCTGGGCCTGTAATAATAAAGATAAACAACAAACGCTTTTTAGTCGATTAGCGGCTGATGCTAGCGGACGATTTGCTAATCGTTGCTTCGACCCCCCGTTTTGTTCCACGAGATCGAGAAAAATCTTAATACCTTCGACGATTAATATTTATAAAGAAATTTGTATTCGTATATATTGTTTTGTATCTTCTTTTTATTATAAATTTTGTGATTATTAATTTGCCTCATCTCCTTACGTTTCATAATGAAAAATGTTTCGTTGATTCGATGATATATATGAGGAAGATATCATAAGGATATGTGACTAAGCGAGAAGTTACTTATACGTGAGCACAGTGAGAAGTCCCCCTCCATAGTTCACAGTGATCTTATCTGAAGATGCAATACTTCCAGTCACTACGTATTATTTTTTGTGAATGCATTCATAGAATCCCATCGACCAATCAGATTTCCCTTGGGAAGACTTGTGCTATCAGCTATGGATACACGTTACGTATTATTATTTATATTTAGTTATACTAGCACAACTTTATTATCTTTCTTAATTGCGAAGAAACGTTGTGAATTCGTATGCCTGTAATTTTCCAGACTCCAAATGTCACATGCGTGCAGTAATTTTTGATATTTTGAGGAAACGTGGGAGGGTTAAAATTTAAATCGATATAAATGAAATAAAATTAAATTACGATAAAATTCGTTTGTCGAAAGGTATGGTGAAAAAAAAAACGGGCTCAGCCGGGATTTGAACCCGGGACCTCTCGCACCCAAAGCGAGAATCATACCCCTAGACCACTGAGCCGGTTGCTCTTGTACTCTCTTGCTGGCATACTTTCAATCGCGCAATAAACTTACACACGAATCACACTTTTAAAGTGTTTTCTTTTGCATTTGTTCATTTGCGACGAGACGAATTTATCGTAAGAAACGAATATTGGAAAGGTGAGTGTATAAATTTTTAAAATTCGATGAAATATATATATATATATATATTTTTTTTTTCCGCAAAAATTATTTCCTCTTAATGCAACGTTATGTCATTTACGTTCGTTTTAATTTTACTTTGCCGTTTGTTCGATTTTCTTTTCGTTGTAGACACAATTTTTATTAAAAAAGGATCGAAAAGAATTATAAAGAAATTTCTTGAAAAGAAAAAAAAAATCGGGCTCAGCCGGGATTTGAACCCGGGACCTCTCGCACCCAAAGCGAGAATCATACCCCTAGACCACTGAGCCTCTCGGTGAAAGCTTTTCTAAGTTACATTCATAAAAAAAGCGAGTAGTCACACTTTAAACACTTTAAACCTAATTGTTATAATTTCTCTTTATTTATTTATTTCCAAACTTCGGCAACAGCCGAATTAAATATTGGGATTAAAGTATTTCGAGAAGCTTACTTTATTATTAATTTGTTTTTTTTTTGTTATAGTATAAAACATTTTTTAAAATATACGTATTTTGAAAATTTTATAATTTTCAGAAAATAAACATTTTCATTTATCCGTATGCTAGTATACTTTATTAAATTTATTAATAGAAATATGACGATATTTTATAATGTTTCGAAACTATATTTTATTCTTGTTTTAAAAAAATTACAATATGTAAGTTATGTTATGTTATTCTTCGATAAGTTTTTCTAATCTCGCATCAATTCTCTAAGTTTAGCAATCAATTATCGTGGAACACATTTTGTAAAACTTATCCAACTTATCATCGCATATTTCTCAATACTTTGTATAACGAACACTTTCATCTAGATAAAATTGAATGGGTCAATAATATTGGAAGAATATCGGTATTCTTCGAGTTGTTGACTTGTTTTTAGCGATAAATTAACTCTGTTGTTGAACGTGTAATAAAAGTAATAAATATAAATCATTAATTCTTATCGTTCAATTCGAATAGTTTGAACACTATGATAATTTTTGAACCAAGCAAATAAAACGAACGAATTAATTTTGCGTCAAACTTCATTTGAATTGCTCATAACTTGATGAACGATATTTTTGAACACCAACTTTTCTATTTATTTTGGTCTCTAGAATCGAGAACTCTCCTCAAAGTGTTTCACGAATGCATATAGCTGCAGGATCGATGAATCAGAGCGAGACATCGAAGTTTGGACTGTCGAAAGTTGAAGAAAATCATCGCTGACTCACGGAAGCATAGATTCTAACCGGCTGCCACGAATATTTACCATATTTTACACACCTGGGTTTTATATACAACCAATAAACAACAACAATTCTCGATTCTCTTATGAATAAAAGAAAAAGGACGTTGTTTTACAAAGAAAAGAATCTCCAATTTTCTCTTACTCTTCTCTCCTCTACTCTCTCTCATTCTCCAACATCCAAACACTTAATAAATATTTAATTTGCATCAGATTTTCTCAATTTACATTCTTAATTCACCGATTGTAAAAACCGTTTAAACGCCATATCTTATCGTGCAATATAAACAAGAATCGCTTTATTCATTTTCTAGCACGTAATAAGAGGCGTGAAAACAGTTGGAATACTCAGCTACGAAAGAATTACACGAAAAGAAGCAAAAAAAAAAGAAAAAAAGAAAAATCAAGTTGGCAGACACGAACGTCTTAATTAAGTCTCAATTAACAGACGGAATATCTGCATAAAGAGAAATAATCGCGTCTGTGCGAAGTGGCATTGACAAATAATCGCGTTAAAGTTGTTAAACGTTCGTTGGACAGGAGGTCGGTGTTTACGGGGTCGGATAATTGAATTGGGCATCGTCGTACAATGCCTTCGCCTGTTAATTCCATCGCGAAGCAAGAGAGAGACGCATCTCCGTGAAGGAAAGTTAATTGGCGCAAATGCCCTTTGCGAGCCACTGGGCCGTAAAACGGCACATTCTATCATTCTCGCCAATTAGAATAGTTTATTAATCAACCAACGTTGCTCTTAACCTGTTAACCGTGCATCATTATTGTGCACACTCGTCACGAAGAAATGTCAAATCGTTGTATCGTGAACAGTGAGAAATACTCGCCGTCTATTTTTGGATTTAGGTGAACACAGTTTTTAGGAGATTAAAACTGGTTCTCTGGTGTTGGTGAATTTTTAATCGATTAAACTGGTTTGCTAAGATCTCGTAATGAGATTATAAACACGAAAACTTGGATATTTTTTTTGATGAATTTTGATACGATGATTTTGTAAAATTTTTGTAATACAATGATGATCCCAATTAAGTGTATTGGAATCTTATAGGAATTTTACATTTGCAATAATTTGCAAGAAATGAAATGAAAGATTCTATGTTTAAATATTATTTTCGATCTGTAAAGCTACTTTCAACAGTGATCCAAAATTATTTCCTCCCCCTTTTTTTTTGTACAATCTCAACGCTTGTCTTTAAGAAACAGTTTTATGAAAAACTGAAATTTTTAAAGAACAATATCTGCATATTTCCGAATATTTAAATAACGTTAATAAGAAAATTAAAAGTCAATTTATTCCTACAAACATATTTTATATAAGTTTATGAATGGAAGAAATTTATAAAAAAATATTCTTGTTAAAATGGATAGTTTAAGGATTACGTAATTATTAATTCCACGATTGGATAATTTGAATGTTACATAACTTGAATCGGATGTGGCTACAATTTACGTTATTCAACTCAGTGGTTTAAAACTTTAAAGAGATTAATAAATATTTGAATAAATAATAAATTTCATTTCTAGTTTACTGTAAACTAGAAATATAAATATTTTTTAGATTTTAAATTTTCGTAAAGTAAAAACTGAAACACTTGTTTTAAATTGAATTATTAGAATAATTATTGGAATGCTATATATAATTACATTTCCAGACAAATATTAACAGAAGCAACAGCAAATTCTATATTAACGAATACGGAATCTCGTTTAAACTGTTTTTAACTTGTAAATTAAAAGTTATCAAGCAAATGCAAATAAAATAAAAAACGGTCATCTTTTAATACTCTTAATCTGTTATTATATACAAATTTTATTTAATGTTTTGCCTAAAATAACTTTGCAAACGAGATATTTATATTTAATAAATAATTATAGCTTCATTTTAATTTAGCTTTGAACATTCAATAAATATTATATATTTCTACGAATAAAAATTACAAATTCTGCTGATAAATAATAATACAACTTTCTACATTTTATTTCATTATCTTCCAATATAAAAGCATGGATCAAAAATAAATAAACCACCTGATCATTCTTTTGATCCATCCATCCTAATTAAATTTTCATTTTTTTCACTTTACACAAAACATGATAGCGATATAATTTACTAAATGCTCCTATATGAATAATAATTAATATAAATAAAAATTCCAACAATAAATTCTCCTCGCCTCGCACACACAATACATATACATATTTCTAATACAATTCCAAATATAAATTCTACATTAAATCCTTATCATTCTCTATTCACGTTGCACGATAGATATACGCGCAATAAGAAAATCGAGTAAGGAGGATACAACCTTGATATTTGAAGAGAGAAAAAGAAAGAAAAAGGGTGTAGACGAGCGTGTAACAGCGTTTCTTCTTCACGAGAGGAGCACAGGAGCAATGGAGCACTCCTTTCTGGAAAATGGAAAGGAAAGGAAAGGAAGCGTGGGGGGCGAACGAGGGGAGGAGGGAGGAAAGAAATTTCATTTTTCGCCAAGTTTTACATGACGTGAACCGGTTCCACGGCGGCCAACAATGTCGCATTCGCGACGAACAGCATGAAAAGAGCGTCGGTTTTGCGCGGCGTCGGTTAAGCTCTCGAGCTTTGAACTTCCGTCGCCCAATTAACGTCGACCAACCAAGGTACCCAGCTCTTCATTAAGCAGACCGACCTTTTGCCTTCCGCATAATGAAAAGGGTACCTCGTTAAATCCGTGTCGATGCATAGGAAAAAAAAAAAAAAAGGGGAAAAAAAAAAGAAGAAGAAGAAAGGAACGAAAATTTTCGTGAAAAAAAAAGAAAAAAGGAAAAATTTTCATCGATATG